GAGGGGCGGGGCCGGCCTGGGTGGCAGGTGGAATTCCCTCTCTCCACTGGGACTGAGTGAGAATAGGAAATACCTGACACATAGGCACCTGTCTGTCCTGAGAGCCTGCGGCCGGCTGCACTTCTGCAGGGCCAGCCCTTTGGCCTGCGTGACCCCCCCGCACACTGGGACCAGCCCCAGCAGAGAGAAGCTGGGCGCCAGGGCTCCATGCTCGGGTGTGGTGGCGCTCTTCCACGGGGTTCCATGTGCATCCATCCTGCCATTCTTGCCACCAACCTGCAAGGGGGACCGTGGTCTCCTGCTTCTGGGCACACAGACAGACTGCTGCCCCGCAGGGGACGGCTGGGGCCCATCCCAGTGCGCCTGCCTAGGAGGCCGCCTGGGGGGACAGCGGGGGAGAGCTGGGCCTGTGGCTATCTCACTTCCTGGCTGTCAGGAAGCCCACAGTTGGTGGTGAGAGAAGGGACCCCCCATGGGGGGCAGGGGGGTGTCCCAGAGCAGGTGAAGTGTCTGCCCCAGGGTTCAGGGTTGGGGCAGCATCCTGTGGCCTTGGCGGACCTGAGGAGGCTGAATGGGTTGTCCCTCCTCCCCCTCATCTCCTTCCTCCCCCCCACCCCCCATCTCCCAGGCCTGCCCACTCGCCCCTGGTTACCTGCTGGCCCTGACAGCAACCCAGGGGACCCCTTCCCTGAACCCTGCACTCAGCACGGCTTGTGTCTGGCAGGAGGAATCACTGTTGAAGGGGTGTGACGCCGCCTCCTGGGGAACCCCTTCCGGGGCAGGCTCCCTGGTGACTCAGGCTGGTGGTGGAGCAGATCCCATTCCAGGCCGTGGGAGTGGGCTGGCTGTCGCTCTGAGGCTTCGCTCCCCAGGAAGGCGGAATGCCTGTGTGTGTGCAAGTTGCTGCTGGGCCCAGCTCCCCGCTGCGGTGGCCTCCACCCAGGAGGAAGTGGGAAGGGGGCGCGTGCACCCAGCCCGGGCCCATCATGGAAAGCGCTCCCTGCTTTCATGTTCTGGACCCCTCAGTGCCCCTGGGCTCATGGGCCAGGGGATGGGAGGCTCAGATATGGGAGCTGTTATCCTGGGTCACCATCTGCCAGCCCCCTCCCCCCCACACAGATGGCAGGGCTGGGACTCAATTTTGGACTCAGTGCCCCTGGGTGGCCTCAGTGCTGGTCCCAGGGAAATTTGACAGCCTGAGGAATGTGGATGGGACAGCGCAACGTTTATTCTCCGGACCCACTCTAGGGTCCTGGCCACCCAGCTGTCAGGGGTCCTCTCCTCCATCCTCGGTCATCTCCCAGGTCTCCTCCATCCCCAGTCACCTCCCGGGTCCTCGCCTCCATCCCCAGTCACCTCCCGGGTCTCCTCCATCCCCAGTCACCTCCCGGGTCCTCGCCTCCATCCCCAGTCACCTCCCGGGTCTCCTCCATCCCCAGTCACCTCCCGGGTCCTCGCCTCCATCCCCAGTCACCTCCCGGGTCTCCTCCATCCCCAGTCACCTCCCGGGTCCTCGCCTCCATCCCCAGTCACCTCCCGGGTCTCCTCCATCCCCAGTCACCTCCCGGGTCCTCGCCTCCATCCCCAGTCACCTCCCGGGTCTCCTCCATCCCCAGTCACCTCCCGGGTCCTCGCCTCCATCCCCAGTCACCTCCCGGGTCTCCTCCATCCCCAGTCACCTCCCGGGTCCTCGCCTCCATCCCCAGTCACCTCCCGGGTCTCCTCCATCCCCACTCCCCTCCCAGGTCTCCTCCATCCCCACTCACCTCCCGGGTCCTCTCCTCCATCCTCAGGACAGAGGGTCGGGTGCAGAGTGGGCTTCACTCCAGATCTGAGCAGAGGAGAGGCGAGGGGGGCCTAGCGAGCCACTGGGGATCCCATGTCTCCAGATGACTCCCACCCACACATGCCACCCCTACCCTGCCCTTCTCCAGGTGCCCCATACCTGTACCTCCTGTTCAAGTCCCAGGCCTGTCTGCAAGGCGCCGGGCCCCTAGCCCCTGCATCCCCACCTCTTCGGTGCGCTCAGGCGGGCCCAGGCTGGGAGATGGCAGTTGCCTCCCTACCTTCCTTTCTTTTCTTAGTCCCTCCCACCTCATGTGCCCTGTTGAGTTCCTCCTCCTGGCCTTGTCCCCACTGAGATGCATGGTTGCTTGTGTGACAATAGAG